AAACAATTAATTGCAAATAATCGCATCCAAAATAAAAGTTTTTGTTTACATATGAGTGTATACTGTGTATATTTATTATGCATATATAAATACACACACATATGGTATATATTTTGAAAATATTTACATATATTAACATGTATATATTTATATTCATATAATTTATCTTACATAAAATATATTTGATATACAAACAAAACATTTTTCTTAAATATACATGCATGCATATATAATATACACAGTACACACACATATTGTGTAAACAAAAACGTATTTTGAATGCGATTAATCGTTTGACAGCACTAATTTTTATAAATACATTTTATTTTAAATGATTAAATATAGTATTTTCTTTTAAAGCACTAATATTGTCACTACTAAAGGCAAAACTAATTAGACAAATTGTTGCTCTCTGAGTTGACACTATATCCTTTTTTCTGTGCACTGTTAGTGTTTTATTTTTTTTATCACTTAGTGTAAAAAGTATCGCTGTTAATGGAATAAAAAATTGTCATTGACCTCACGATATCTGAACAGAAAAAAAAATGAATGCGTAACAATAGAAACAATAATATTAAATGCTGTGAAGATGTCAAAAATACACTCACACACAGATATCCCTAGGATTAACTAGATGAGATTACCATTAACACTGTTCTTTTCTGTGTCCTCAGGGATCAAGACCTGGAGCCTGGTGCACCTTCAATGGGAGCCAAGAGTCTGTGTATCCCCTTCGAGCCATTGAAGAAACTGCAGGCCGGTCAGATGTGCGTCAGCGGCAAAGAGCCTGCGCAGTTCTACACGCTGTTTGGTCGCAGTTACTGAGACCGTTTTCCACCCCTAAAATAATGACTCTTCTTCTTGTCAAATGCACTTGCAGAATAACTCTTAAGACATCTGTCATCTCCTCTAACCACGCAAAATACTGCTTTTTACTATATTTTAGAGGAATCCCCTCTATTTTTCTGGTCACGGGTTTACTAGCTGGCACGCAGAGAGTTTTAGGCTGATATTAGATGTTCTATGCGGGCCATACTTAACCTTTTCGCATCTTTGTCCTAAATAACTGTCTGACAATTGTAATGAACTAAACATTATCTGTAATAAAGGGATTCTTCATTTCTATAATTTTTTTTGTGCTTGTCATGACTTTTGTATCTTTTTGTATTTGGTTTGTGTACATGGGGATCAGAGATTAAGGTGTTTTTTTTTTATTATCTAACATACTCTATACACCAATGGATTTTACTAGATTTATATTACACAAACATAATTGACACACAATATATAAAATTACTGTAATAAATTATTTTTTTTGTTTTTTTTTTACTGAATAAACTATAAATTAACATTATACATGCACTTTAGCTCAACTGCAAATATTGATCATATAATTATGCATACAAAAATAAAACAAAAAGTGAACAAGAAAATAAGAGAAAAGCAAGTAATAAAATAAAAAGTGCTAGGAGGTAATAATATAAAAATCTGAAAAATGGTACAAAGCTCACAAACTTCTAAAGTCTTATAGCTTTCCTATATTAAGAGTATCTAATATAAATACTGCAGTTGTACTTCAGTAAACAAAGTTTCGATTTAACGTGCATTTATGAATGTGACATTTGTTCTTAATGGTTCGTTCTGTTTCTGCGCGACTCAAGTCGCTGTGAATCTCGCGAGAGTCTCGCACTATGACGGTAACCTTCTAGACACGTGCTGGGCGTGTTGTCAAACGCACAGGTGCGCACAGCCGCTCACCGCTAGCTCCGCCCGCTCCGCCTGCTCGTGGCACGTCAGATTTTCGACAGAAAACTGCGGAAGCAATACGTGGAAAACTGTTTTAGGTTATCAGCGTTTCGTCACACCTGTCGAGGTTTGTTTATGACGGTAAGTGGGATATTGACGTTTTATTGGCTTACAAGTCCGTTTAAACACGACGTTTATTGCGGTCCAGAGTATATATGAAGTAAAAAGGTATATTTACATCCAGGTTTCTGTTAATATGACCTCTACATTGTTGAAAAGGCAAAGCAACGTACATTTCTTTAGATTTGCGATACCTGTTTGTTAAAAAAAGGCCTATATGTTTGTGTCATATATATGTCATATATTTGTGTGTCGAGACAACTTTTTGTAATGTATGATCTTATACATTTTTAACAATTTTACTGAATATTATTACTGATATAAAAGATTATGAATAAAATGATGGTTATGTAAAATTGGAATGTTAGAAAATATATAAAAGGTCTTTTTAGAAGGTGTAGATGACACGGAATATAAATTCAAACTACAAATTGCATATCTAAATAGTTTTTTTACTTTATTGTTTTCTTTTCATACTTGTTTTTCAATTCCTTCCTTCCTTCCTGTCTGTAACTACAAGGTACAAATATCTCATATGCCATTTTCTATAGGGCTTAAAGTCTAAATAAGATATAATGTTTATGTAAAATCAAATATTTTACACCAGGGAAATGTTTCTCCCTCTCTTCAGATTCCTCTGTCCTCTTCCTGGTAATTGAAGTAAAGCATGCAAAAAAGCATTCTCCTAGCTTCGTAACTTTAGAGTTGAACCACTGATGTCACACGGACTACTTTGTCGATCATCTTGGTACTTTTCTGGACCTTGAACGTGGTAGTTACCTTGCTGTCTATGGGAGGGTCAGAGAGCCCTCAGATTTCATCAAAAATATCTTAAATTGTGTTCCGAAGATGAACGAAGGTCTTATGGGTTTGGAACAACACGAGGGTGAGTAATTAATGGCAGAATTTTCATTTTTGGGTGAACTAACCCTTTAAGTTGAAGGAAAAAATGATATTTTTAATTGATTAGCAGAGTTAACAATAACTGAAATAAAATATAAAAATAACTAATAACAATAAACTAAGAAATAAAAATGAATAAAAAAATAGACATTTAAAATAACTAATAAAAATTACAAAAAAAAAAAAAAACATTAAAATTGTCCCTTTTTCTTTAGCTTAGTAACTCTTATTCATCATTGACTCTGAACAGGACAGGGAAAGACTGAAATCTCTGAACAGGACAGGGAAAGACTGAAATCTCCAGTATGTGTACATTGTCAATATTTTCCCTGATTGCAATGTGCTCAAACAAATTTGCACATTAAAATGTTGTGGTTTATTATTCAAAAACTGCACAATTCCGTTTTAATTGATGGTGTCAATGGAGTGTCCATCATTGTCAAAAGTTTCTCTCCTTCTCTCTCTCCCATTAGTGAAGCTGCAAATTTCTGGTGTCATCTACAGTCTGGGTCCAAAATTCTCAGACTGTCAGGGCCCAAACCCAAACTACACTCCCATAAAGGACTGCTCAAAACCCTCCAGCTCAGACAGCCTGACGCAAGCGCTGACTCACAGGTGAGTACAGACTTGAGTATTACAATTTGGCACATTGGCACACCTTTTGAGCTACAGACATTGTCACCTCATGTGGCTTGTTGGGGTCACAGGTGTGCTGATATGTTTTACTTTTGTGGTTCTATTAAAATTAAGAAACTTGTTTTTGTTTTGTTTTTTAGACCACTACACTTTTAGATCTTGAACTAGAAGATCTGGAAGACCCTCCTGGACCACTTATTCAAACCAAGGTTTGTGTGTGCGTGTGTGCTCTCAAACTGTGGTCCACGTAGGATTCCAAGTTTGAATCAAATGTAATCAGTTACATTACTTTAATAAATTAATTGAAATAGTTACACTACTTATTACATTTTAAATAGGGTAACTTGTAATCTGTAACCTATTACATTTCCAAAGTAACCTTCCCAACACTGTGTGTGTGTGTGTGTGTGTGTGTGTGTGTGTGTTAATATGTATATATATCTTTGTTTTACTACTTTTTTATTTATTCATGTAATCGACTAATGAACAAACTCATAACAGTGAATTAACTTTTAATATTAATTTGTGGTGAAGTGTTTCTGTTGTCCACTTCAGTGACATTTAATTCGTATTTTCAAGGTTTTAAGGTTTTACTTTTAAGATGTACAGCAGGGATATAGACCAAGGAGGATTTATACACTCCTTAAAGGGATAGTTCACCCCAAATTGAAAACTCTCATTATTTACATAGCCCCATGTATTTCCAACCCTTAATGACTTTTTTTTCTAACATGGAATATAAAAGAAGGTATTTTGAGAAATTTCTCAGTATTGTTTTATTTTGTAACAAACCTGGTTTGTCATACAGAAAGTCATACAGGTTTTGAATGACATGAGAATGAGTAAATATTTGAGAATCACTGATTTATAGGAAATGAATTAAATATAAATAAAAATAAGTGGGTTCACTGAACTCTTAAGCTTTTTTTCTTTTTCTTTTGTCAGCTGATGCCATCATCACAGTGTCAGAATGCACCAGGATTCTTTTATCAGATCTCACGCCAGTGGCTCAGCAAGTACAACATGAACCTGCTGCCCTACCAGAACAAGAAAGATCCTCTGCAATAATCAACATCACATGTACACACACACACACACACTTACAGTTGCAGTGACACACACTACTTCAGAAAAACAAACCTGCAAGGAAAAGTTTTATCCAAAAATGAAAATTTTTCATCATTTACTCAGCTGGTTGTTCCAAGCCCATTGTAAATGCATTGAAATGAGCTACTAGTGCATTCTTCAAAACATCTCAGAAAATCATGCAGGTTTGGAAGTAACCGAAATGATAACCGAATTTTCATTTTTGGGTCCCTTTAAACAAAGTACAAGCTGCCTACTGCCTGCATTCATTAATGTGTATGGAAACAAGCACAGGCAAGGTTTTCCAAGCACTTTCACAAATAAATCCAAGCCTGTTACAAAGCATGCTTGACAAAAGTACTAGTATGCACACTAGCTCAGGATGGAATTCCTAACTTACTTGATGTACACACTTTGCCACTAATCTAACATAAAACGGAGGCTTTTAACATAAGCAGAACAAAACCACTGTAAACCTCAAGTACAGGAAGTTAATGCCGCCATATAGTTATTTATTCCACTGTCTGCTGCAGCTGCCTAAGCTCATGACTTACTGTTCTTAAAGCTACATTATTTTTATTGTGAATCTGAAATCTTTGAATGTATTTGGTATATTTATGTTGGAAATATTTAAACAAGAATATATGAATATACAGCTCTAAAAGTTTGTGTCCTGCACTTCAGAGCAGTTTGTTCTTTTTTTTTTTCAAAAAAGGACTGAAAAAGGTCATTCAAAATGTAATAAAAAGAGAAGCTTCAACAGCATACCATTAATTCTTTATTTGTTTGTTTGCCCCTTATGGTTTCTAGGGTAAATCCAATTACAATAATAATAATAAAAAAACACAGCATGATCAGTAATAAACATTGAACTATTTATTTATGTCTATCACAATTTTTTATAAAAGTGTAAAGTGATCTTAGAACCTTAAGCTAATTAATTATATCGCGATACATATTGATATTGAATTATTGTCCAGCCCTATTTCAGGGTTAATTTTATATCAAGGTCATTTAATTATATCAACATAATTTGTCCGCAAATTAGTCATTTTATCCGTTTAAGCCTTTTTCTTGATTTAGTTTGCTGTTAAGACACCTTCAGCTTGACTTAAAAATGTAAAGATTGGTACAAATAAATAGCTTTATGTGTCAGTCTTGGGTTATGTGAACAAAAGTTGATTCTGTCAAACTTCCTGTCATTCTGTGTGCTCGCGTTCAAACTAAAAACAGAACTACTCCACATTTTATTACAACCTAGCAAATGGGACGTTCACAGTTTAAGGTCACGGAAAGTTCAAGTTACAAACACAGATTTGAGCATCCGTTCTCATGCTCGAAGTCTTCACCACAACAAAACATTTGAAGCATCAAGACCTTTTCAGAGAGAACTGATTATGTTCATATTTTACTTTTTCATCTGTAATAAGCATGAGCTTATTTTTTTAGTACAGGGCTCTTCATACAGATTTTGTAAAGTATTATTTTGGGAAATATTTTGCTATGATTTGCTTATAGAACATGAAGCGCTGATTACATGTGGCATAACCACATTTACTCCCCCTTCTTTTATCAAGATGGTGATCATATGTTGTTTGTTGTACAGTTGTAATACCAGAACTTGTTACTTTTTAAGT